TCTGCGGACCGGTACCGGGCCGCGGACCGGGGGTTGGGGACCACTGACATAGAGGATCCAGTGAAGTGACCATGAGACATGATGAACAGTGGGACCTAATTAATATATAAACTTAATATATACACCCCTGCCAGCAGAGGAAGTGGCAGCCATGTATCATGTGTCTCCAACCAGAGATTAGCTCTATACTGAATGAGGCTCTCAGAACCAAGGCATTATGGAAGGGGTGGTTTGGAAAACTGGCTTTGCCTGGGCAGGAGGTTGAAGCATAACTATACTGGTAGAGTTTGCTACCTATTTAAGATGAACAGGGATTTTGCTATGATGACATTTCTCAGACCCCATTTCTGATTAAATAGTACCAAGTTTCCCTTTTAAAACAGAATAAATACAAGCATAACAGAGGAAAGTTCCTCATCAGTATTAGCCATTAGCTGTTGCAGAAGATGCAATGTTTGCATGCCCCATTCTGACCCCTCCTTCCATAAAGATGGGTGAGAAAGCAGTATAAGGCTTAGCTTATGGTACAGGCATGCCTGCAGGGTTTGTTTGGTTGGTTTTGGCTTCACTGTTTGATTTATCATTTGAAAGGTAATATTGAATGCAGAATGGAGTTAATCCTTACTTCATCTAATAAAGTGAACATATTTCTTCACACAGTGACCAATTTTATTTGACTTCTGGCTCTCCTTTCTCCTTGGACTCCACCTCCAAGAAACAAGGTCACACATCAAAATAATAAATTTAGAAAACACAGTTTAAAAATACTCACAGGAAATTATAGTGCTAAAGCACAAATAAATGGCAAGCACTGTATTTGCAAAAGATACTGCAAGATGCTGTAAAAGGTAAAGGCCCCTTTCTCAACAGCCAGTCAACTGCAGAAAGGTCTGCCTCAAAATATCTTTGCCTCCAGGCCAGGGGGAATAAGAATGGGGACCAGCCTAGCATTCCTTGACAAGCAGGAGCTCTAGAGCCTGGGAGCCACCATCAAGAAAGTCCTTCCTCATTTCCCTATCAAATGTGCTTGTGAAGATGGTGGGAACAAGAAAAGGATGTCCACGAAATAATTAAACCCAAGGATATTAAAATCTATTCATACTTGGAAATACAGTCCTTTGGAAAGCCTTGGTCCCAGTCATATAGGGTTTTTATAGTCATCACCACCACATACCTTGACACTGCCATTGGTTATTTTGTAAGCCGCTTTGAACAACTCTGCTTTGGGCAGGAAAGAGAAGGATATGCATTTCTGAAATAAATTAAACAAAGTGTTGCATCTGTCCATGCCTTGTGACAGCTTGATGAAGGTTTAGCATACATAGAAGCCTGCTATATAAAACACTGTTTCGAGAAACAATAAATGAAGTGTTTTGGAAAAATAATCTGTCCAGAAATGTGTGTGGGTTTTGTGTGTGTGTAAAATTGTGTTTCTTGAGGAAAAATAATTTTTGCACAAAAAGAGTGTTTCTGGAAACAGAGAGCTTTTTTGTATGAAAAAATGTATGTATGTTGGGGGGGGGGGGTTTGCACAAAACCACATTTTTTGTTCAACCCCTCACTCACCCCATGTGTATTTCTGTGCAGAATAATTTCCTAAAACACTTCCAGATATCTGAATACTGGATAAAAAACTACAGCAATATTCATTTTCTTCCACACTGGGGAGAACACTATGAAAAGTATACATCCATGCATGTGAAGATGAAACAAAGACTTACCTCCCTCATCTACTTTAATAGGGACTAACAGGATTCAGGACCCAGGATCCCAAGAGAGGCAAAGCAAATTTCACTAGAATCCAGAGGAAACACTGAGAAATCCACCCACTATGGAGTACTCAGTACAGTAAAATACTGCTTCTTAAGCTATTTGAAGTGGAGGACTGCCAGTGTGTTCCAAATGTGCCAGAGACCTGCACCATATTTGTGCCCATTGACTACAACTGATGCTTTATTTTCTGGAAACTCACCACAGACTGCCAGCCAACTGCTCTCAGATCAGCATCAATCCATGGGACCA